CCGTATAAATGGATTAGTTTCACGATCTGTTATGTGATTGCGAAGGCAAAAAAACTGGCCATCTACATGGCCATTTTTTGAAATACCTATTATTCTTCTGTCTGTTTCGTTTCTTAATAACACAGAAGCTGAACGTGTAGTTTACAAAAAAGTATATTTCTACCTGACTTACATTTAATAAGGCCTCCTTTACATCACCTTCACGGTGACATATTTCGCAAAGTTTGCTTATGCGCTCATAGTTATCGGTGGAGTAAAACAATTTTGTCATACAAACTTATTACTGCACTTTATGACACAACACTTAACAGAATAGCAAAAACTAATTTTTGAAACCTAAATTGCGGCTTGTTTCTGAAAAGAAATGCGATTCCTTAAACTTGGCTTCACTTCCATTTGAGAAAATTCGGACAAAATTTTCCAATTCTGAAAGGGATTATTATTCCCCCTTTTTTACTCATTCTGGAATTCCTCTATAGCACAATGTATATTAATAGAAAAAAATTGGTTCTGTCGTACCATATAGCATAGTAAATTCCTTCGAAATAAACTTACTCATAATTTAGCCAAAATTAGGAACTATTTCGCTCCATAACTTTAAGTAAGAGGGCACATTTCCAAACTAAAGCCTTTCTAATTACTAAATCTACTCAGTTGATCAAAATAACCTGTCCAAGTATGTGCTACACCAACAAGTTAAATTTCGTCATGAAAGTAGCACACAGGACTTGCAATACTGTAATTACTATTTTATAGAATTTTCCAAATATTCCCATTGCAATGTACATGATAGATGTCTCTGATAAGTTTTATGTCTTGCATATGCATACTGTACTTTGAGTAGTGCGGAATTTCAACATTTTTCGAGTGTTCCCAGGGCACGGCAGGGGAAATTTTGAACCCTTATTGCAGAGGGACCTTTTACCGCTAAAAGGATATACAGTAGTCTCCGGTTATTAAGCCCACGGTTAATAGGCCCAGCCGCGTATTAAGCCCAAGTC